TATCCCCAATACGTCAATGTTCTAAACAAACTCAGCTCTCTGGCAGTAAGATGATAAACTACTCGTAACACACCACTCAAAACTTGTTTCTCACGAGTCTAAGTTTGAAGTGGCTCCGTGCAGACCAAAACACGCCGGCCGCATTTTTTATTGAATAACTCCCCACTTTGTGGCCGACAAAAGGGCGCGTTAAAACACTTTTCATGCCGGAATACCGGGAGATTTACAAATCAAAAAGACTGGGTGCCCGGGTGGCCCAGAGTAATCTGATTATGAACTTTAGAAGACGTTTCGGCTGAAGTCGGAGAATGGGCGCGGCTTTCAGTGGATTACTGGTCCATTTAGCGGGCCAGGAAAACCAGAGAATTTCCGTGGCCCGCAAAGTGAGGTTAACAGTTATTAGGTGGGACTAATTGCATTACACCACGCACTATGTGGTACACAGTGTACATACATATCACCCTGATGCACAGTACGGTCGCAAAGTGAGGGATAGTCAAAACGACAGAACGTTAGAAAGATGGAAGAATAGAACGATAGTACGATGGAACACTAGAACGTTAGAACGATGGAACTTTAGAACGATGGAACAAAAGAACGTTAGAACGTTAGAACGATAGAACGTTAGAACGTTAGAACGATGGAACGTTAGAACGATGGAACAATAGAATGTTAGAACGAAGAACGTTAGAACGATGGAACGTTAGAACGATAGAACGTTAGAACGTTAGAACGTTAGAACGATAGAACGTTAGAACGTTAGAACGATGGAACGTTAGAACGATGGAACAATAGAATGTTAGAACGAAAGAACGTTAGAACGATGGAACGTTAGAACGATAGAACGTTAGAACGATAGAACGTTAGAAAGATAGAACGTTAGAGCGATGGAACAATAAAACGTTAGAACGATAGAACGATAAAACAATAGAACGATAGAACAGTAGAAAGAACGATGGAACGTTATAACGATAGAACGTTAGAAAGATAGAACGATAGAATGTTAGAACTCTTCAAGGAAGGTACAAGATTGTGGCCTTTGTATCATGTACCCCTCTTGGGGAGTAGGTCCGCCGACTCCTGTGTTGTTACTAACCCTACCCGTCCATTGTCCGCGCAGTTTGCCGTCTAATCCGGTCCTGTTGATACATCTGAAAGATGCATTTGGACCCCGAACGGTTCTGATATCCCAGCTAATTGGCCACGCTACATTTACAATGGCTCCTGAAGGCCTGCTCAAATATATCATTACCGGGCACAATCACGGCGTGTGGCGAGTGTTTGGCCAACCGTACAGGCTGTGTTGACTAATGCAGTTCAGGGGCTCAACACATGAAGTACTAGTAGCTAGCCTTATTATAAAAGAAAGACTGCTGTTTCGGCTAATTGCGTCTTGGAGGGTGAATGTATTGCCGGCATAATTGTAGGGACTCTAAACCAGCCAAGATTTTCTGATGCGAGGAAAAAGTTATTTGAAAGATTAATCAAAAGCTATTGTATCCGGGTATGTTTTTCGGTGGCCGAGCTGTGGGTTTGTGTGTCTGTTTGTAGATTGACATCACATTTTGTATTATTGGTGGGGAAAATTGACAGAATGAATGAATTCAGAAGCCTTTATTGTAGTTCATGCTCTAACAAGCTGAGTATAGGTCGTGGTGATCAAGAATATTATATTACACGTTAGAAACACAATTTACTGTGATATAAGAGTGTTTTATCTTATTACAACAACAAAGCCAGTGTATACTACTATTAGTATGTCCATGCTTAGCTGTGATAGACTTCTTTTACAGTGAGTAAAAGAAGATGAATTGATGACAAAAGAGGAGAGAGAAGCGAGCTCCAGTCTAATCTCATTAATGACGAGAAAAGGTCATGTTGATGTTGTTATTGTCATATGACCTTCCCTACAGACGATACAATCTTCCCTGGTGGGTCCAGCTATGTCCCTCAGGATCACCTGACCTTCAGGAATGTATCTTTAGCTTTCAAGGTTATTTTGTATATATATATGTATATGTATATATATATATATAGTACTCATTGTTATATAATCATGAGGTATTGTTGTCTGGAAGTCTGGTTAATTTTGCAATAGTTGATATTGATCTTGTTGAGTGTCTCCGTTGTTTTTGTATTCAGTCCTTGTATGTCAAGGATCTGTATTTTATTTTGCTAGACTGAAGTGTTCCTGTGGAATCATTGCGTAGTCTAGTCCATAGTCATATCTTTCAGAAACAAACGTATGTGTGTGTGTGTGTGTGTGTGTGTGTGAGTGAGTGTGTGTGAGAGAGAGAGAGAGAGAGACAGAGAGAGAGAGACAGAGAGAGAGACAGAGAGAGAGACACAGAGAGAGACACAGAGAGAGAGAGAGAGAGAGACAGAGACAAAGAGAGAGAGACAGACAGCGAGACAGAGAGAAGGGAAAAACAAGGTAGTACATCACTTTTCGTCGGTCACTGGGAATGGGGTAATATGCATATGCTTTATTGGTTTGTTTGTGTATAATCATGTAGCAATCAGTACAACAACAGGTCCCGAAGCACTCTGTATGAACCCTAGATTGCTAAGCGACTCCACAAGCCTATAGAACAGCCAACCTATCTGAGAAAGAACCCAGAGCAACATGAGCGGGTCAGCATAACAAAACGTCCCGTCGATCCGTCTTGCGTCTGTTCAGGACACGGGCGATTGTCGCAAATCTACCAGAGAGGCGAGATTAGGTCCGGATAATGCCGCGTCTCCGAGCGATGGAGTGAAGCTAGGGGAAAACTGTTCCCCCGGGACAATGAGGGAACAATACGGTCCACTCCGTAACGTACACGGCCATTGTGATCGCCGTGAAAGCAGAGACTGGGTAGAAAACGCCGCCGGGTTTGTAGGGCCTAGGAAAAAATGGTGTGTTTCCTGTTTCAATCCTGAAGAAAATTAGGGTCGGTAGGTAGGGATTATCTTTTTTATTTCTTTCTCCGTAACGTCCAAGGCCATTGTGAACGCCGTGAAAGGAGAGAAAACGCCGCTGGCTTTGTAGGGCCTAGGAAAAAATGTGTTTCCTGTTTCTCGACCGACCCTAGACAAAACTGCCGACCATAGCCTTTTTTGGGATGGACAACTGCAAGGGACAAAAGTTTTTCGAGCTGATCGACCTTTTCTCGCTCCATGATCTGACACCTAAGAGCTGAAACGTTGTACAATCGGTTTTCCAGCATTGATATTGAACATGAAAGTGTCCTCATGCAAGTTTTACTTTGTTAAACCGTATTATTATATAAGTTAGATCACCCAAAGAAAGAAGAAAAGAAAAAAAAGGTAATCCCTACCCATCGACCCTAATTTTTTCAAGACTGAAACAGGAAACACAACATTTTTTTCCTAGGCCAAGGGAAACGCTACCGGCTTTGTAGGGGAAATGTTACGGACGGAGCGGCCTTGGAGCTCCCGCTGTGCAAAATAAGCGGCTATTGTGGGCGGAAAGAGTAAATCAACTGGACTTTAAAAGGTCTTTTTGTGAAGGGAAGGACGTTTTAAATCTCCTCGGTGAAAGACATGTACAGGGGCACCTGCAGGCATGGGGAGGGTGGGATAAATAATCTCCAAACAGATCCCTTTCGGTGGCAAGACAGTACCCATTAG